ATATATGTATGCTATGAAGTGTATCTTTATATATAATATAAATAAAGCAGTATATATTTATACAAATACATAAAATAAATGTTTAAATATACAATGAGCATATGTAAAAAATTAAATGTGTTATACATTTAATTACTACATCAAATATATGTTATTATATATAGTATATATATATATATAAACAGCACAGATGTACTTATGTAAATAAGTACAAATAATTTTGGCATACAGATGTTCATGTGATGCTAGAATATACAGGGATACTGGAATATACTGGACAGATATCCCAGTATCACAGAGAACTCTGTATAAATGTGCCCTGCACTATATCCATTCAAGAAAATGTTAAGAATGTATTTGGTGCTTTCGCAAACCATTGGCATGCCTAGGAGAAAGAAAAGGAACAAAGGGAAAAAGATAATTCTAGTAACAGCACTGATAACGAGCCTTTTTCACATTCAAAACTCTACTGCCCCTTCCTTCCTCCCTCACCAAGCTACCTCCATACCCTTGTATGAAAATTCAAGTAAGAATGCATTTGGCATATCAGCTGTTATCTTGATATATGATATTTCAATACTTTCAGGTCTCATGTCCAAGTTCTTTGATGTGAGTTATTTAAATTTAAGAACAATGGCTGAAGATGAAAGAGTAAGAAAGCCCTCTGGTGCTATTTCTCTGTTTGTAAAAAGTAATAATTTAGTGTTATATGTGATGATGTAGTGAGTCAGCAAACATAAATATCTTCAGGGAATCTTTTGTTCTGCTATTTTCCCCTAGTGGAAATTATCTGATCGGGGAGGGAATATTAACTAAAATTCAGACTCTAAATAAATCATGCTAGTTTCTATGGATTCTTTTTTTTTTTTTTTGGGGGGGGGGAACACCTGTAAGAATTAAGCTAATTCTACTATCAAGTTAACTGATGGGGACTATAGACATTGTGGTAAATTAAGAAGTGTTGTTGTTGTAAGTTGGAAATAATCATTGGCTTTACAAGCCTAGGGAGAAGCCTGGCCGACTTCCGGCCAGCCTGGAAAGAGTTGAATTTAGAAGTGCGGTGTCTGCCCACACATGCTGCTGTTGACGGCAGGTTTCTCTTATGCAGAAACAGATCAGGTCACCTGTGAGATTTCTGAGTGTGTTCTTGCGGAATATACTGGATTGTTCCAGTCAGACTTAGCTCTCTCTCTATCTAGTAATATAATTTGGTCCAGACACTTAAACACTCAGAACCTTCATAATGTCAGTGGGAAAAAAGATGATAAGGACTTTCCTGTTCACATGTAGCATTGTTCTGAGGGGAGTGCTTGAGAGTGAGAAGTGCATGCTAGTGTTGAGAACTGGTTCCTTCCTCACAGAGCTCTATTTCTATCTTGATACCCATCTGTGCCTATCGGTGTTAAGATAAGCATGTAAGGCTACGGGTGTGAATAAATAGCCATATGTTACTCATATAGTGTGCATGTTTATAAATTATACAAACATATAATAAGCTGACTGAAGCTCAGTGTCACCATGTCACATAGTCTCACCTACCTCAAACAAGGCTTTGAGTCATAGGGTTAACCACTCAGACTTGAGAATAAAAGCCAGTGACTGAGCAAGATGGTAAAAGTCACAGCTGGCAAGGAGAAGTGACGAGTGTGAACCTCACTCTAATACTGTGACCTCTGGCAAGTTCCCTAAATCTTTGGAACCTCAGCTTCCTCACCTGTGGAAGAAACTTCATCTCCACTCCACTCTCAAGCAAGTGGGAGCTGAACAAATGGCAAGTGTCATCATGTGCCTGAGACCACGCAGCTGGCAGGCTCAGCATGCTGCCATGAACCACAGCTGCAACAGGCTTCTGCTTCTCTGATGTAAGGAGAAACAGACATCTATGCACTACACAGAATTCCACCCAAAATCACTGCAATTGCAGCACTGATCATCGTGAGGAGGGAGTCTTGGGATGCGGGTGCAGTACCCCTGCAAGCTCGGGGTGATTCTATCCAACCTTAACTGACTGTCCCTTCCATGGCACAGATGAGGAATCTGGATGTTAGGATGTCAGCTTCCTGGGGCCTTGGCCCAGCTCCCCAGCTCCCAGGGGCCTGTGGGGGCGTGGCTGACCTGACTGGCCAGTTCCTCCTAGGAGTCCACTCTCAGGTCTTCTGTTCAGTGGAAAAAGAAAGAATAGGATCAACCTGGCTGGTGCCATACATCAGTGCATCTCTCCTGATGGACAACAGGGTGGAACCAGCTCCTGATCCTTTTCCAACTCCTGTTCAGCATTTCAGGCTGCCAAGCTGTGCAGAAGTGATCAAGGAAACACACAAAAGGCAAAAAGCCTCACGCAAGAAATAGCAGACTGTCAGCCTTGCTCACTTTAAGCCACCCTTGACTTAAAACATTTGTAGTTAGGCACCTCTTCTTCAAAAGCCTTTCCTACTCCGAGGCATAAACTTAGACTTAAACTTAGAGGCTACACTGTCACATTTGCCTCATCAATTAGACATTATTTTATGCAAAGTAAATAAAATACATAAAATAGTACATATCTATGCTCGAATAAGGTTTGCAAAAGTTATCCAACCCCCACCCCCCTGGCCACCCCCAAGTTAATGAATTACCAGAACTTCAAGGAAGGTAAAGATTGGCTATGACTCTTAACCTTAACCAAGCCTCAAACCCAGGATCTAACCTAAGTGTTAACACCCAGGTTTAGTTGTGTTACCTTACTGCACCCAAATTGGAAGCAGCGTAAAAGCCAGAAGCTGTCTTCCATGCTTTCCACAGGCGTTCTCCAGTAAAGGAAGGGACAGAGACAGCATCTCTGCTGGCGTGGGGATGGGAGGTGAGTGGGCTGTTAATAAATGCCAGCCACCCGAAGATGACCGAGTTTGTTGGTGGTGCCTGCCTAAAACATTTGGCTTTGGTTTTTCAGCTCAATGACCAGGCTTCTGTGAAGACCTAAGTAGGGCATCTTTGGATTAGTGAGCTGCATTGTAGGAAGCTCAGAAGTTTCCCAGGCAGAGACACGGTGTCGTGTTTCCCAATATAATTTATGCTCTCAAATACTTCTCATATGATAGAGAGTCAGTGGGGGAGTCATGCGTTTTCAGCCTCACTGGAAATTATCAGCTGGGCTAAGCTGTGCTGTTGGTGAAATGAAATTGTTGAATGCTGCCTAGATCTGGGACCTTGGCTTGATTTATCAGTCAGAAATGAGTCAGACAGTTAAACCTCCCTTCTCTGTGACACTAACCTGTGGTACGTGCTCAGTCTTTCAAAATGATTTACTGGATCAGTTTAAGAAGCAATCAGAAGAGTGATCAATGTGTTCCAATTCAGTAATGAACCTACTCCATGAGGCAGCTGCTTCTCTGACCCCACTGCACAGATGAGGAAACTGAGGCCCAGTTTAAATAACTCCCCTAAAGTCATAGCAGTGGAGTTAAGATTTGAAATTCAGATGTTCTTTCTCGCTCGCTCATCAGTGAAAAATAAACTATGCTCATCATCTCACCCCATAACACATGCAAACATTCTCATCACTTCCAATGTTCTTCAGACGGATTATTTTTTTCTTATATAAAGAACATTTTCTGGAAATGTCTAGGCTCATAAGGAACTTAAAGGGTGCTTGTGAATTCATAAATAGTGCAGTTTTCATGTCAACAAGCCAATGCTTGCTAATGAACTTTTGAGTATATATTTTTTCCAAACCATTACTGTTATAATTAATAGCTTATATGATTTAAATGTGAGATGCAGTGTTGATGGCAGCGTTATTTCCCATCGTCTGTGTGACTTTAGATTCCTAAGGTTCTCTGAGTTTGGTCTTGAAAAAATAGGATAACCCTAAAGTAATTGTTCAAAACTATTCAACTTACATCTACCTCCTGGTAAATGTTACTTTCTCTCATCCAAATGTTACATGTGGAAATAAAACTCTCCGTTGAAAGCCCTCTGTACCTTTCATTTCATTGTTCCCTAAATAAAGCCACACACTGATATCTCTCTCTCTTTAAAAATCAGACTCAGATCCCAACACTTCCACCTTTATGCAATATTTTTCTTTTGCCAAAGCAACAATCAAGGGCTATGAAGGGAAACATCAAAACAAACAAGTAAACAGACAAACAAGCAGTCTCTGAAAAATGAATACCCCCAAAGAGGCTGTCTCCCAGGGAATTGCAAATCTCAGTCTCTTTCTGAGGAAGAACAAGCTCAGTATTTCTTACAGAGATATTTTCCCCCTGACAGACAAGCATTATAATGAATTAACTAGTTAAAAGCTGTTTAGAGAAAGAGCCACTGCCTCTTTCTGAGCACGCAGAAGTAACATGAACTGTCTGAAAGGTCTGAAGCAGGGGCGGTGGGTCCCTCCTGCAAGCTGGCCCTCAGGCTTCTCCCTGAGAAGCTGTCTCTGCCGCGGTGTGTTCCCCTCCCTGCAGCCTCCTTCCTTGCCACGGGTCCTGGGCAGCTCTATCAGTCCAAATGGGAGCTGAGTTTGCAAGCTGACGGGGATGGAAAGGGCTGGTGGCGCTGATGTCAGAGCCAGGAGACAGCTGCGATTGGATCTAATTAGGCTTTGCAGCAGCAAATAGACAAGCTCCCTGCGTGATTGGCTTCAAAGTGGCTGGTGCCAAACAACTAGCAGAGGTGCAAAGTAGAAGCCTGCCTTCGGAGCCCAGATCAAGAGAGGCCGCCTGGAGGAGGAGGGCTCTGGGAGCCCAGACCCACGGGAGCACCTGCCTGCCCAGCCGGTCCTGCCCTCCAGCCCATGGAGCTTCCGCTCAGCTCAGTGGCTCTCAGCACAGCTGGGAGCAAGTGACAGAGAACAATTAGAGCAGGGAGGGCAGAGCGGGGTCTGTGACCGCTCAGTCCTAAAAAGTAAATCCACCCGCTGATTTGCACAAACAGAAGCATTTTAGAGGCTGCAGCAGCAGCAAGAGAGGAAAGGTGAAATTGTTTAAGAAAGGATTGTGCTCCTATTCTACTGACTCCTGACCATGGCATCGGTCCTGGGGACCAGCAGAGGGTCCGGAGGGCTAAGCAGTCAACTCAGATGCAAGTCCAAGAGGAGAAGGAGGAGGAGGTCCAAGAGAAAAGGTAAGGATCTGGATTTCTGAGCTCCCTCCTACTCTAACTCTCTACTCTGTTCCGTGGTTCTCTCGTCTGTGGGTTTGCCTATTTCCAGCAGCTTCACTTTAGGATGCTGGCGGGATGCGAGTACAAAGCAGCGTGTTCATCTCGAGTTCCGATGCCTTTGTAAATGGCCGGGGGCTTTGGGGAGCCCAGAGGGAACAGTGAACAGAGCAGCCAGCTCAGCAAAGCCTCTCCTTTGCAGGGAGTAGCATTCGGAGGGGAGTGCAGTGCTGGTGTGCCGTTTCCTCAGACTCGAGGGTGACTCCCTGCCTGGTCTCACTCCATGGCTGCTTTTGCCCCTCTCAGAGGGAGCATGATTAGCGCCAAAGGAAACACTCACTTAAGCCAACATTCCTAAAAGCGAGGGAATGAGTCCCTGTGCCAGCTCCTCCATCCAAATTGCCTTTAAGGAAGGAGGGGACAAAAACCCTGACATTCACCTCCCCAAATTGACGGACAGTTTCTACTCAGAGTGATAACTGATACTTGTTGTTTTGTAAACACTGGGACAGGACCCCAGAGAATACAGGGCTTGTTCTGGTGAAATAAGCAGAAATTAGCACTGGAAAGAAAAATAAGCATTATATCTTTTAGTGGAAAAAAAAATAAATGAATAAAAATACAGCCTGCAAACCAGAAAATGAGAAAGAAAGAAAAAAAAAAACAGCTGAATGACAGGTTGCTGCTAACACACTGTCATGTCTGGGCCTTGTTACCAATATCCTTGGAGATTGTCCCAGTGAAGTTAGTCCTCAGCGCTTCCACAGAGGAGCGGATGGGAATCAGCAACTGCCCCACCGTGAGAGGCTGTGTCTTAAAATTCCATCAGAGCCTTCATGCATTCTATGAAAGGAAGCAGAGATTCTCCTTTTCCAGAGAATTCTTTTCCAGAGAGGAACTTATTTTTCTTTTCCAGAGAAGAACAGTTCCTGACCGAGTCTACCGGAAAAAGTTTAGTTTTTTTCTGTTGTTTGGAATGTTTGGTTTTAAAAAAAAAAATGAATAGAGAGCTGTGATAAGCAATTGGAAAGCCAGAAAAGTAAAACATTTTCAGATTTTCTACTTTTTTCTAGTGCAGGATGCATTGGTAGGTAGGTTGAGTGGCAGATCTCAGAAATTTTCATCTTTGTAGTTAGTAGTCATAGGTAAGTTTCCATCACCTTTCTTAACTGCTCTCAAAAGTCCCCAAGTCCTTCATGACTTTTTCAAATAATAGGAATTAGGCAGACAGTTTGAAGACTTAAATGCCGAAGTCCAAGAGTCATTAATTATGATTGCGTGTTAGGACTGCAGGGCGTGAAGCCGGACTAACAACTTCTGTGAGATTTTTCAGAATGGGGGTAACTTTATACCTCTAGGTTTATCCTTGAGCTGCTGAAATGTATACCCCAGTTCTTCATTCTGTTATCTGAAAATTTCATTTTGGAACAGATCTATTAATGTCTTGCAAAAATAATACTATCATAAAGTAGCCTTGACATTGACAAAAATCACAAGATTTAATAATGGATGTAATTTCTAAAAGACAAAAGAGGGAAGGTTATCTTGTATGCTTCAAGTGTTCATGTTTCTCAGTGATTTTTGGATATTAAAAATTCAAGAACTGGGAATAGTATTTTACAATAAAGTGACCTGTAAAAATAAAATGTAAGTTGATGGACTTCAGTGTGCCTTCTTCAAATTCAGTCCTCTTACCTTTATGTGCCAGGTACGTTAGCATATAAAGCTTTCAATTTTAGAAAGAAAACTCAGCCATGACTTCATTTTTCTATAGATTTAGCTATCACAACTCAATACAAAAATATTATAGGACTATTTCTAGATCTTAGTTATTTTGAATAAAACAAATTTATTCATTTCCATAGCCAAAACTTGATGGTGTGAAATTTACCTGTAGTGTCTGGGGACCACTGTCTCTATAGGAAAGTCACATCAAACTGCTAAGTATTTGCTTTTGGGGGAAAGTTAACAGTGTAGATGTAAATTAAAAAAAAAAATTACAATAGCAACTATGGGAGATGTTAAAACATTAAATAGATCAGTTTCTTTAAAATTCCTAGCTTTTAGAGACACTTGTTTTTCTGTTCTGTCAAAAACAATGGTGAATTTCAATTTTTTTCCTAGCATTCTTGACTGTTAACAGTAACTGAATAGAATAGTGTCAGTTTTTGAATTTACTTAATGTTAAAGCTCTGTGTTTTATCACAATTTAAGAGCCACATGTGTATTGATAGTTGTTAAGGAATTTTAGTAAGGTCATTGAGTACCAACTGAAGTCACTGATTAGAAGCACAAAGAAAGGTTTTTATTATATGCAAATAAGGAAATGAAAAGAAATGCTAACTTTTTTTGCCAATTATATGTATATTTCTACCTATTCTAATGAACAAGAGTCATTTTTGAAAATGCACTTGTAACTTTTAGTTTCCTGGTATTGTGAGGTGTTATCAGTTTGCAATATGCATACCAAGCACTGGCTTTGGTGTGACTTTTTTATTACACTTTTTATTGTCAAAATAATCTATGGGCTCTGAAATAAAAACTCTGCAGCTACAGCTTAAGAATTGGCATGATGCTTTCATTATTATTAGATATGATCCATAGCTTCTGAAATGAAATATTTTCCTTTACCGGGGAGTCGTTAGTCACCATACCACATTGGAAGTAGTACTTATCTTTAAAAATGTAACAAAAGAAAAAAATTAGCCACAAAAGTTGTCTTTCAGGTATTACATTGAATTACTCTCTCAGCTCAGCTTTAAGGAAGCCTCTCTGAGTCTGAGTAAGTCCCTTCCCTTACATGATCAGAACTAAGGCCATGCATTTTTGCATATTTTCTGTGCTATGTTTTAGTTAGGACTTTCTCTTATAAATTGTTTACTAGTGATTTGTATTCTCTGTACATATGCAAAATGTCAACATTTAACTTTTGACAGTAGTAAAACAGGCAGCCAAAAAATTGTGAAAAAGAGTGGGAAATCATTTAATTCTTGTAGGTGTGATGAGACAACATCCACCCTCCCCCAACAAAACTTGTGAGAGACCTACCAGTTTATTCTGCTTCCTTTTCATTCAAAGACTTTCAGGAAATAATGGAAGCACTTGTGTGTTATGGAAACTGGACTGCTACCTACCCCACTCGCGTCCACACAGCTCATTTCTCCTAGAGATTATGAGACTGCACTTCATTTTGTAGTTCTGGGAAGAAGTATTAGATATGGTTGCCCACAATCAAAACCTATGCTGTTGATAATATTAAAGGAATGTCTTACTTGTTTCAGTTAAAAAAAAAAAAAAACGAATGATGTGAATATGATAAAATATGTATAATTTTATCCCAAAATAAAAAAGAAATAATAAAGAAATAGGTATCAGGGCTTTTAATTAGTATCAGATTAACAAGATAGAATTAAAGTCAGTACTGAGTGTGGTAAGAGCATACAAAGGTAGTGCCCTTAACATTTTATCAGGTAATCTCTGAACCACTGGATAATTTCAGGGTAACTTGTCTGAGGAAATTCATAGTTATATTTTTAATTATTAAGGTAGTACATGTGTTCTCTCTCATACACCTTTTGTTCCTTCTTTCCTGTATGTAGTTTTCCTAAGAAGCATAAATTAGCATGAAGTACATTTTGTAAATAAACTATTTTGAATATTTGGCATCTTTGTAATAATGTATATAATGCCTGAAAATTCTGAGGGAAAATTGCTCTTTCAATGCAAGCACTTTTAGAGATAGATTAGGATCTGATACAAATTCACCTGATTCTATAAACTGAACAGAGGGAAAGGGTTTTAAGTAAGGTGTGTCAATCATTCAAACTGAGAGAGGGAGGGAACTTTTGGGGAAAATTTTGAAATGCCTATGAAAAGTCACCTGACCCTCACCCACGCTTTTTTTTTTTTTGGAGGTATTGGACAGCAAAATAAGTTAGTAATTAAAATTCAGATATTATTTCTGGGTGATCAATTATAGAGTTTTAGAGAATCGAGGATGATTTTAAAAACAGTAATGTAAAGTGTGACTCTGTAAAAGTGGACTGATGAATCACGGGAGGTAGGAGAACCGGCTGCTTGCTCAACGTTGTCAAATGCAAATAAAAGTTGGCAAAAGGAACCAAGTAAAGTAGAGCAGATGGAATAGACACAGGCTTGTTGTGAAATGAAATTCCATGAAAAATTAATGAAATAGAAAGATTGAGCTAAGGATAAAAGTAGAGAGGTCGGGCGGCTTTTCATCTTCTTCCCTCCTCAGTGCCAAAGTCACAGGACTCGAGGTGGTCTAACTGGGTGGGATCAAGCCCTGCCGCATCGCCCTGTCCCCCGCTCTGCTTACGCTCTCCGGCAGCTCTTGAGAAAGCACTGGGTTTAGTGATAAAATTAAATTGATTAGACCATTTGCCATCATGTAATTGTGTAGGGCTTTTTTTTTTTTTCTTCTCTTTTTAAAATTTGTATTAGTACCTCTGGTTTCTAGCGACCCGTGTAATAGCAGTAATTTGAGATGGCTTCGAGGACATTAGATATGATGAGTGAACTTGAATTTAGAATAAAAATGTGAGATTCATGTATCCATGTCTAAATAGTGGTGATTCAGTTATGGCAGAAGTGCTGTCCCAGAAGAGCATTATGTAAGAAATGTAAGAAAAAGCGGAATAAGGAAATTGTGTTTTTCTTTTTTAGGCAGGCGATAACTTATTTCCAGAAAGCTTTCAATGTTTAATTTAAAAACCACATATACATAAATGTATGTTTGCTATTGTGTACATATGTGTGTATGTGTTTATGTTGCTGTCTGTGTATGTGTGCCTACACATATTCAAGACATTTGCAACATTTCTCTACCTTCTAGCTTATTTTTCTAAAATGCTAGGAGAGGAATGTGTTTTAGTAATAAGGATAGTTTGGAACAATCATAAAACCGAAATTAATTATACTACTTTGGTCTTCATCCTTTCAAA